GTTTAATAGTCCATCGATATAAAATTCTGCACAAAAAGACTAGATTTAAGAGGCGCTTGATTGGCTCTAAAAGCATTTTGGCCATGAAACTCAATGTGGCCGAGGTTGAGTGGCCTTTTGTAGTAAGCTATAAGGTAAAATTGTATGGCCGCCTCGCTTTCAAAGCAATAAGTCAAACCTTTTGGTGGCGCAGTTATCTAAAATTATGGTCTACTTTCAACCCATATTCAGCAGGTAAAACAAAAATACGGAATACAAATTGGACAATTTGGATCGTCTTCGTATACATAATTTAGACATAGTCACACTTTTTATCAAAAAGCTTTGGTACATTGCCAAAAAAATGTAATTTCCATTTCATTAGTCGCAAGGGGATTGGCAATAAAGCCTGCTCTGAGTCCACTCATGATATAGGACAGATTAGTAGAGGCCCTTCGAAGTTTAGTAAATCACATTCTATTAGATATTGTGAATGACCTCTCCCAAATATCTGACTTATGATTGCCATTACTTCCAACTACAGGCGTGTTAGCGACCAGTTTTGCTGGGACCAGCTGAAAGCTTATCACTGACTTTATAGTCTTCCTAAGAGAACGATAGTTTCAAGAAGCCATTTGCTTGTCATTTCATCTTAAAGTTGAGTGGAAGGGAATGTCATATTAAACTAAATGGAAATCAGCATTTCTTAACGTTGACAATGGTCTTAGCCAGTTAGCTCCACAGTCATGACTATAAGATCATCCATTTTCAGTGTTTTTAAACGAATTGGCATCTATCGTCTCTATTTGACAGTCGGCTCTTCGGGTGCTCAACAACTTGATCACAAGGCAGGATCATAATAACTTGGCATCAAACATTGCCTTTAATTCGTCTGTTTAACTCGATTCACATATCCCTACACATTGCAAATTACTTGCAGCCTGTTTGGAAAAGATTGTGGTCTTCCGAGACATCTTATTTGCAGAGATGAAGATATCCAAATATAGTTCTCTAGAAGGCAGAATTTTATACCAACTATGCATAAGTATGTATTCAAAGGCTGGCCTCGATCAGTGATCCCACTACATTTTCCTGTTGCCGGTAGGCAATAGTGATGATGCATATAGATTGATGATACAATCCTTATTATGGTATTCATTTGTACCTTCATCAAGGAAGGTTGATGTTTTAATTTTGGTCTAAAATCCGTCTAGTACTAATCTAAAGTGTTGTCTCAAGCATGCTCATCAGAAGGCTAATAATTAACTATTTTCGTTGTCATTATGTCCTAAGATGATCACTAAGGCTTGAATAAGAACGTTAGCAACTGCGACCTAAGTTGACTAATTCTTAATCAATTAAATGTGTATTTGTAGCCTCCTAAAACCATTTATAACCATCGAATTTGCAGTATCTGGATTAAACGTGTTTGGATCAGTTACTGATCAGCATCAGTCGTATTTACATGTTTCACTTGTTCAAGGCTTAAAAGCTTAATTATTGTTTTACTAATATAATGGCTGTGTAATATAGCGACCAGTCGGCAGTCATATCACATGTATAAATACAAAAATGCTGCTCACTCTGCATAAGAATTAAGATGATAAATAAAGGTATACCTTTTTAAATTAGTACCAACAATCGATTGCTAAAATAATGGTTTCACAATAAGAAGGATTTGAGTAAAGTACAGATACAAATTTGGTACAATTTAGCGGAAACCGCTGGAAGTTGTTTGAAGAAAGTTTCAATTATTCCTGAGTCTAGCAAAGGCACGGATATTTGCACAATATAGTTTCTGCTTCACCCATTAAAGGATACATTTAGATGAGTTCGAAAGAATCAAATTCAGTTGGGTAATCAAATACAAGCCTTTTTAGCATTATAGTTTAACACCTTTTGTTGCCGGACGCAACTCGGTGCTCAGGGTTAAAAATAAATTGTACCAATGGAATTTCCGTCAAGTGAATATAACCAATTCACATCCACGTTGGCAATAACGGTTCTATGCAGTTATACAAAAATTTCGGCTAAATAAAGTGAAAAACAAATGCTTATTTCCTTTTTAATGTAAATAATAATTCAGATGCTCAAGCCGTTTTGCTGTATAGGTTAACATTTTCCATCAGTAATTTTAGATTAATAAATGAGAGCAAATTTCGTTTTGGGTTAAAAGTAAACGAAACCCTGAGAAAAGAGACCAGGTGACGCTAGGCTCTTCTTCCACTGGCGTCTAGTGACGTGTACCTGATGGCCCAGCAACTCGCGTCAGGGCGGTAACGACCCCAGTCTCCGCCTGCTGTGTTCTTCTATTTTCTCACAGAGCCCCGGTCCTCACAACCGAACCCCACATTCACCCCTGTTTTCTTACACATGGAACCATTAGGCATGTTGGGTGGAGGAATATGAGCGTTTAGACATTTTCTTTCAACCTCCAACCTTAAAAAATAGGAGAGAGTGGATTTGGGGCAATCGAACTTCAGCCAAGTTCAGGTGCCTTAAACCCGCTAGTCCTTTCGCCATACGCTGCAGTACATTGTGACAACTGTACTTGAGGTTAGCCATGTGAAAAATGTGAGTAATCTATTCTGACTATACTTTCTTGTTGCATAGGTTCTAGCACCAAGTACGTTCGGCAGAAGTAAAGGCGCTAAATTTTCCTCTTAATTAGTCTGTTAATCCTCATCCCTTTCGAGAAAGTTAACCTAGTTTCCGGGCCAGTCTTTCATGCGTGCACTCCGTTTGGTTCCTGTCGAGCAACAGGAAATTCCCATGCGATTTGAGCGGCCCTTTTGCGTACTGAGGGGCACTCAAGGCAGTCAAGCGAACGCAATTCACCGAGCGCACAATCTGGGCGTAACTGGTGTTTCCTCTTGACAATGGGCTCATGTTGTTGCCAAGGTGATTGACAGTGAGATACCGAGGTTCTTGTGTCTTCTTTTCCATTTTTCTCATTAGCGCAAACAGTTGCTAATAGCAAAGCACTCATATGACTGTTGCGAAATGGGCTATCATTGGATCCATTACCTCTTTTGTTAGATTGCCATGTTGAAATTTCTTTATTTAAGGGGTTGGAGATCCTAAGACTCTGTTCCCATTCTTTGAATGGCTATTTAATACCAATGAAATCTTACTCTTGACAGGTAGACAATAGAGGTGGCTATACTATTAATTCCGATTCATATTCCAGTGAACTTGGCTATCCTTACCAAAGATCTTCAAAAGTTATGAGAAATATGTGATGCTTTATGCAGGGGCATAATTGGGCAGGTGAATAGGCCTTCTTCGAAAAACCATAAGAGAGAGCAAGTCTCCTTCGGTAGAGAATTGCTTGATTGGATAGTTGGGACTAACTGACAAGAGGGCTGACTGGATTGCATTTTGCCAAGCGATCAAGAGTATGGACATATGTTCTTCCAATTAACCCTTCTACGGATGGTCATAGAAAAAGATAGTACAGAATGCGTTCACCCCCCATTATCAAATTTCTTTATGGAAAATTCTCAGCAGAATGAAATCGCAAATGGACATAAATAATCCTTATTTTATTCTTCGTTTGTAAGTAGGCTTTTGAGACTACCAGTAAATCAGATAAATGAGATATCTTCATCCTATTTCGTGTAAAGTGACGAAGGACTGGTAGTTCAATTTTCTCACAATAAGATGAGCAGAATTTACGTTCCCATTTACTTTCAAAAAGCCTTGCCTCCCTAATTTCGGTCCTGTCCAGCCTATACGAGAATACCTTTTGGGAAGCAAGTCCATGTGAAATGCAATGGAAACGTGAGGTCAACTACCGCTCCTTTACCACCTCAAATGAAATAGGATAAACACGTCTCAGTCCTTAGTTTCGATTAGAATAGAATATTTAATTTGCCTGCTAGTCTGCTAATTTAATGCTTATTTTAGTTTTTAATCAGTCCTAATTCTTAATTTTAACCGATTACAAATCAGGTGGAATTGAGGATTGAGTGACAGAAAATATTGCCTCCTGGACTAGAGCCAAATTTTCCCGCTTTATAACCAGGGCTAGGAGTGATTCTAGATATTAAGACGAATGAAATGTTGACAATCAGAAGTCCCTAGCCATTCCCTAATTTTGTGATTACCGAGCTGCATGATGCATAACAGGTCTTCCGGGAAATGACATATCTGTACCCGAGGAAATGTCACCTCAGGTGTAGACAAAGACGACACTACGAAGAGGACAATAAATTTCTTTGGTTAGCGTCATCCAAAGACAGCAGATTTGTCCCATTATGAAATATTCTCTACCCATTTTGGCAATGAATGGAATCCTTTCACTCGAGAATTCACTTCTATAACTAACTCATGAACCGAAACGAGTCCAATTTACTGGGTTGCTAAGGTGTTACCCTTCAAGTTCGAGCTTACGAGGGAAGATGAGGTGAACTTTGCGCCTAAGAATCTTCAAGCACACAAGATATATCTCCTTATGCACAGCTTTGCTGAACACCGTTAAAAAACATTTTGGGCAAGTATGGCAGATAAAGCAACATAGTAACTTCTTTTATTCATAATGGGCAG